ATTCAATGATGCAAATAGTTTTTATTTCTTTTTTTAAAATTATTTATCTTAGAGAGAGAGAGAAAAAGAAAGAAATCGTGCACACGTGCATGAGTGGGGGGGAGGGGCAGAATCTGCAACCAGACTCCCGGGTGAGCATGGAGCACTATTCGGGGCTCGGCCCCATGATCCATGAGATCATGACCAGAGCCAAAACCAAGAGTTGGATGCTCAACTGACTAAGCCACCCAGGTGCCTCTAGAGTTTTGATTTCTTAATGAAATATTTCCAAAGATTTTAAAGACTACAAGTCAGTTATTTTATAGAATGTTCCTTAACCTGGGTTTGTCAGATCTTTTCTCATTTTTAGATTCAGGCTGTGAACTTTCAGCCAGAATCCTACACACATGAAGTTGTATCATCCTCAGAGTAATTAACACCCAAAGGTGCAAGATGTCCATCTGTCCTTTTTTGGTGATGTTAATCTTTACCCCCTGGTCAAGGTGTTGTCTGGTTTCTCCACTATGTAGTTACTATTTTTCTCTTTATAACTAGCAACAAATCTGGGGGTAAGACACTTTAAGACCATGCAAATGTCCTGCCGCACTGCAACCTCTCCCCCCAAATTTAATGCCCATTAATGACTCTTGTCCCAAACTTTTCTTACGATGGTTTTAAAATGATGATTTTTCCAATTCCACAACTCCTTTCAATATGTATCCTTTGTCATTTTTCTGTTCCCCAGAACCTCCCCTCTTTCTCCATGGTTTACCTAAATCTGTCTATCATCTATCTATCATCTATCTATCTATCATCTATTATCTATCTATCATCTCTCTATCTATCTATCATCTATCTATCATCTATCTATCTATCTATCTATCTATCTATCTATCTATCTATCTATCTATTTATCTATCTATATCATCTATCCATCATCTATCAATCACCAGGGGACTCAATAATGGACTTCAGATCACAAATTTCTTGATAGCATTGAAATCTCTTGTTTTCCTTTAACCAAAGGAATTTTGGTTAAAAATAATTTGATTTTTACATTTTTGCCAAGCCTTCTGTTACAGTCTTTCTGTATTGTTTTCTTTCAAGTGTGTATCATCCAAATCTATTTTTTTAAAGGGTTAACATGATCACTTTCTTTTGTTTACATTGAAATTCTGAAGAGTATTGGAAATATAAGACTTGACAAATAATTTTTATTTTCACACTAGCAGTTTTTTTAAATATTTATATTTGAACAAGACACTGTTCATTCTACCCAACATAACAGGAATAAAAAACTATTTTGGAAGATCACTGTCCAACAAATGATCAGGTGTAGCAGATCACATTTTCTCAGTAATCTCCTCCCCAGGGCACAGCAATAATCTCCACTGTAGGTATCCCCACTGAGCACTTTCACCAAGACTTTCACCAAGGAATATTACCTTGGCTAAATTATTTTCTACTCATGTTATGTGGCCCCCAGGCTGAAGGACTACTATACAATAAATTGAGTTGTTATCTCATTTATCACAAAGTTAATTAATTATTGTGGATAAAAATATTTTATATTTCCAAGGATGAAAGATTTTGAAAAGCATTCAATACCTGCTCTGTGTTTTTTCCTATCTTTTAAGTAAAAGCTTAATTAGTGACTTTGAGAAGGAAATGAGAAGTAATCAGCACATTATGCTTTCTGAAGATCTAGCTTTTTTGTGGTAAAAATGCTTCCACCATAAGGTTTATGATGTTTCTCACATTATTCAGTTCCCAGAACAATGCATTTACTGAAAATGTAACATGCTGCTGTGATCTACCAGTATAAATGATGCCACTCGAAAGTTTTAAAAACATGTTTCCATGCATGAAATAGAAACCTCAAACCCAGGAAAACACAAGCCCTCACATTAAAATATTTTGTATCTTCTCTTCTAATTTTATAAAAAATATTTTTTAATGTTTTAAAGTGTTTAATGTTCAATTTTAACTAAACTTTTTTTGATTGAGCAAAAGTGTATCTGGAATGTTATCTTCTCTCCAATTAATGTCTCCCAACTCTCCTCTGTTTTCTTGACTTATGGGTTGACCAGGTAAAAATGGGGAGATGTGAAGAATAAAAAATAGTTCCCCCTATTTTTTCCTTATACCTTAGTTCTAACATCATTACACTAATCCCAACAATATTTTTAGTAAGTTGGAAAGAAAAATTGTGAATTGCTTTTGTAGTGAGTAAAAGTTACATATTCCAGGGTGGAATTTAAGATAAATTCCTTGGGTTTTGATATATATCTAAATCAGATCTTGTCATGAGTTGTGTTCCTCACTTGTTCAGATGTGTCTGCTGAGTGCCCATTATGTGCCAGTCCTGGTATTATAATTGGGATTGGGTGGTGAACAGAATAGATCACGATTCCTGCCTTGTGGAGCTAGGAGGAAGGGATGGACAATGAACAATAAATATAACAATTGGACAAACTATATGGTATCTTAGAAGATTAAGAGCACTCTGGAAAAAAATAGAGTAGGCTAAGGAGGACACAATGGGGAGGGATATAATACAATCTTTTTTTTAAAATTTTTTTTAAATTTTATTTTATTATGTTATGTTAATCACCATACATCACATCATTTGTTTCTGATGTAGTGTTCCATGATTCATTGTTTGCGTATAACACCCAGTGCTCCATGCACAACGTGCCCTCTTTAATACCCATCACCAGGCTAACTCATCCCCCCCACCCCTCTCCCCTTTAGAACCCTCAGTTTGTTTCTCAGAGTCCATAGTCTCTCATGGTTCATCTCCCCCTCCGATTCCCCCCCTTCATTTTCCCTTCCTACTTAATCTTCTTCTTTTTTTTTTTTTAACATATAAAGTATTATTTGTTTCAGAGGTACAGGTCTGTGATTCAACAGTCTTACACAATTCATAGGGCTCACCTAGCACATATCTTCCCCAATGTCTATCACCCAGCCGCCCCATCCCTCCCACAACCCACCACTCCAGCAACCCTCAGTTTGTTTCCTGAGATTAAGAATTCCTCATATCAGTGCAATCATATGATACATGTCTTTCTCTGACTGACTTATTTCGCTCAGCATAATACTCTCTGCTTCCATCCATGTCATTGCAAATGGCAAGATTTCATTTTTTTTGATGGCTGGGATATAATACAATCTTAAATAGAACAGAGCAGGCCTCATTCAGGAGGTGATCTTTGATCGAAAAGTTGAATTAAGTGAGGGAGTCCATGTTCTAGGCAGAGCCTTAAGATGGGAGTGTGTCCCGTTGTGTTCACAGAGCACGTGGAGTGTGTTTCTTTGTTCACAAAAGTGTGTGACTGGAGGCAGAGTGGCAAGAGGGAGTAGAGAAGAAAATGAACTCAGAGAAATAAAAAGAGGAGCAAATTCATGCATTGCCTTGCAGGCCCTGGTTAGGAATTTGCTTTTTACTCTGGATAAAATGAGGAACCACTGGCTTTTTCCTTCTCTGGAGAAAATGGAAAGCCATTGGAAGATTTTGAACAGACGAATGATATAATTTGACATCTACTTTAAAAGGCTCAATCTGGCTACTGGGTTTAGAATAGATCCCTGAGGGCCAAAGGTAGCTGCTAGAAGAGCAGTTAGGATGTTATCACAGCAAAGCAGGTGAGAGCTGAGGGTGGCTCCCACCAGGGAAAGAGCAATGGGGACTGTGAGTAGTCAGATACATATATACTTTGAAGATGGGACTGGAAGTTTTCCTAGTATGTTGCACATAGGTTTGACAGAGGCGAGGAGTCAAAGATGACTCCAAGGTTTTGGCCTGAGCTACTAGAAGTCCAGAGATGCCATCAGTTGAGAGGATAAAGGCTGTGAGTGGAGGTTTGGGATGATGATCAGAAGTATAGCATTGAACACGTTCAACTTGAGATAGCTATAAGACATCCAATCTGAGATGTCCAGTAGGCAGTGGGACAAATGCATCTGAAATTCAGGAAGGAGGTTCGGAATGGAAATTTATAATTTTGGGAGGTATTAGCATATAAATAGTACTTAATACCATGAGGCCAAATGATATAACCAAAGAAGTAAGTGTAGATACAGTCTAGAAAAAGACACAAGTCTGATCCTCGAGACACTCCAATGAGGATATTGGAGAAGAGGAGGAACTGACAAAAGAGGAACAGGAGAAATGATCATTCTCACATTCATCTGAAATTTGTTCCCTTAAGTTGAAGATGATAGGGAAAAAGTTAAGAGAGGAAGGGTCATTAGGGAATTGAAACATGGGGCAGATTGCATGTAAAAGGGACACTCTTCTCTAAAGGGGCTGAGGAAGGACATGGCTCTGGATAGGAAATTATCTTTCTAAGAATGTGTTAAATTCAAAACTTGACTCCTTTTTATATGTCAAATGGTACATATACAGACTGTCTTAGAAAGCACTACTGAGTAATTACCTAATGCAAATTGCAGTATTTTGTTTATGGAGTCATATGTATTCAATATATTTATATGTAGAACTTCTAGCAGATTCTCAACAAATAACGTGTTGAACTCTTAATGTATCACCTTTGTTCTTTGTTGAGAATGTTCATATTATGTTAAAACTGTTTTCCTTGCATACAGAGGACACATAAAAACTTTATTCAATCCTTTTTCTTAAGACATACATACCTATTAAATCCGATGCCAGTTTGTTAAGACATGTCACTTACACTTTATAATTACTACTCAGAACTTTGGCAGGTAAAGTGGGTGTGAACTGTCTATTTCTCTTAACTCTGGCTGGTTGGGAATTGTAGTCAATAAGACAAGCATTAAAAATATGAATACCTTCAAATATGAGCTAGATTTTATTACTTGGATCTAAGTAATCTTCATGGAAAGCTAGAGCTTCAGTCTACATTAATTTAGAAATGCCCTACATTCTTGGAGATCATTGCATTGAAAGTCTTCAATGTTTCCTCTCTCCAAGGAGTAAAGCGTAACTAACAAATCTGACTCTTCCTTCAGAAGGAGTGAGCGATTGTGCTTACCAGGATAGGAGGAAATGGCATTGATGTGGGTGGTCCTGATGACGCCCACGCGGGTCCCGCGGTTGTTTTTCATACACATGCAGATACATATGGCAATTCCAGCGATGACCCCCATGATGAATACAATTCCAAACACTATGCCAGCAATTGCTGTACCCCTAAAAAAGGAAAACAAAAGTACATTTGTTGAAAAAGCTCATAAGCCTTTCAAATACACATCCGTAACTATATGACAAATGCTCTTTGGCGAATCTCCTTAAGGATAATGTAAAAAAAAAAAAAAAGGTGATTCCCTGAATCAGTCAAGTAAATCGTCTTGTGTATTTCAGTAGATAAGAAAAAGCTGTAAGCTCTCAGGGAATCTAACCTATCATTCAGATTCTGATCTTAGAAATCCGTGTATTTATACAAAACACAATTATTCAGATACACTCTAAAATAATAATTTAAAAAACCATTCTGCTGTTAACTTGAACAGCAAAGAATTTATTGTCTGTGAGTACACATTAACTGAAAACAACTTGATAAATGTCAAAATAGTAAATAAAATTTAACATTTATCTTTCTTAAAACTATTCACAAAGTAGAACTGGAATTTTTTTTTCTTAACAGAACAGAGAAAAACAAACCAAATGTTTTTTTAAGAAATTATTCAGAAAACAGTTATGACAAATGGTATTCTCATTAAATTCAGGAGCAATGCAAGCAAAACCTCTATTCTGTTAATGTTATGTTTTTCTCCAGGTTTTATCTCTCACAACAAAATCATAGAAAGAAAAAATACTGCATGCAAGAGTCAACATTACCATTATGTGTAGATAATATGATTTGTAGGAGTCTACATTTGTTCACATTTTGGAAAGTAATGGAGAAATCTTTGTGAAAAGATGTAGATTTTCAACCAGCAGTATCATTTCTAGCAATGCTTTCTGAGGAAAGACAGCACATGTGGGCACAAATAATGTAATAAGAATGTTTGCCAATATATTGTTGCTGATAGCAAGATATCAGAAACACCCTAATATCCAAATGACAAAAAAGAAAAAATAATAATGATAGACCAGAGAATGAATCCTATACAGTGATTGAGAAGGGTGAAGAGGTCCACGTGTATTGAGGTGAAATGTTCATGATAGATGGTTAACTCAATAATAATACTACAAATGAAAAGGCAAATATCAACAATACCTGTATTAATAGAATGATTGCAAGGAGAAAATTGTATTTTTAAATTTCAAATTTTTGAATGTATATATAGTGATTATCTTATAGATATGAAAAAATGAAGAAAATTTTTACTTTCTAATTTGGGTATCCCGTCCCCAGAAGTAACCATTTCAGCTCTTTCAAACATTGTTTTAGTACCTTTTTTTTTTAAAGATTTTATTTATTTATTTGAGAGAGAGAGAGCACGTGTGAGCATGAGCAGGGGGAGGGGCAGAGGAGGAGGGACCAGCAGACTCCCTGCTGACCTTGGAGCCTGATGCCGGGCTCAATCCCAGGACCCTGAGATCCTGACCTGAGATGAAATCAGACACTTAACCGACTGAGCCACCCAGGCACCCCTGTTTTAGTAACTTTCTTCCTATTTCTCAGTAATACAATTACATTCTTTTATTTTTTTAAATTTTGTATTTACATATTATCTGTTGGCTCCTCTTACAGTATTTGGGAATTTAGATCCCACAGACAAACTTTATCCTTGGTTAAATCAGTCATCAGTTTATATTACCAACTCATTGCTTACTGCTGAGCCAAGCAAGGCACCATGGTTACCTTTCATTTCTCTTACACTTACTTTGTTTAAGGAATTTCCATGAGTTCCCATCTTTCCATATGTCTGTTGTTTTCCCACCCCCCCGACCAAGGTCTTAGAAAATTTTTGAACAATTATCAGAAGTTCTTAACATTTTCTTTTTACTACTACTATTATGAAATTGCATAATGTGCTTGGATTTTTTTTTTAATTATTTTTCCAGTCCCTTAGGATTTTTCATGTCTGGAGACTCATTCTTCAGTTCTTGAAACTGTGCCATAAATGGATAATTTCATTTCCACCATTTTATCTGTTTCTCTTTCTGGAAGCCTATTCTGAAAGAACTTTCAGGATAACTTCTCTAATTTTTCTGATCTCTGTTTTCTTGAACTACTCTCTGGGGAATTTCATTGACTTTACCTTCCAAAGTTTTGTTGAACTTTCAGCTAGTATACGTTTAATTTCTGGGTGCTCTATCTTATCCTCCAGGGTACCCACCTCCCTATTTTATAGTGTCCTGTTTTGCTTTCATTGATATAGTTTCTCCTCTTAATCCCTGAAGGTAATAATGACATATATATTTTTAAACTTTCTCTACTTTTTGTATTTCTTCTGTCCTGTTTAGTTTCCTTTTTATTGATTATTTTGATCTGTTTCATGTTTGACATTTTCCTTAAATGTCTGGTGATCCTGAATCTTCTGCTCTTTAAAAAAGAGGCACAGAAGAGCTGCTTGGAAGTTCACTGTGGCCATCTACCATTGCACAGGTGAAATCCACAGTCTCAGAGTTCCCATAGTTATTTCATTGGGGCTGTTCATTTTTCCCCTTAAAAGGATCCTCCAATTTCATGTACGAGCCAGCATGACACTTTGCCGGAGCCTAGGGTTTTACCTATAAAGGTATGAATTTCCGTAAGATCCTGGTGCTTTTAGCTCAGAGACTCAGTCTCACTCTGCTGTGACAGTGGGGCCATTCAGAAGAAGTCTTCAGTAACAACATTTCTGTGGTTTAAAAGCATGATTTCTAGGGGTGCCTGGGTGGCTCAGTCGTTAAGCGTCTGCCTTCGGCTCAGGTCATGATCCCAGGGTCTTGGGATCGAGCCCCGCATTGGGCTCCCTGCTCTGCGTGGAGCCTGCTTCTCCCTCTCCCACTCCCCCTGCTTGTGTTCCCTCTCTCGCTGTGTCTCTCTCTGTCAAATAAATAAATAAAATCTTTAAAAAAAATAAAAGCATGATTTCTAAAGCCAGACTGCCTAGGTTCCAACTGTTCTTTGGGCAAGTTGCTGAACACCTCCCACCCCCCTAATTTTCTTATTAATTAAATGAAGGTCAGCTTGACGCTTATCTGACTCTCCTCTCAAATTTCATATCATGAAATATCTGTACCCCTAGACTCATTTGTCAGGTAAATAATTTCTTATTTTTGTGCCATATACATATCTATCCTACACTTTTGTAAGACAGGTCTGTAATTCTCTTTCCAAACCCTTGGGGCCAGATCTATCTCATAGGTCAGAAATTTTAAGATTTTGGAAAGGGAATATTGTACATATATCATATATTGTAGGACACTTCCAGGGCCAGCACACATACAATCCTGAGCACACATACATTTACATTTCTGCAGTAAAGAAGAGAATATTAACAGCCATAGATTACATAGAGCCGAGAAAAAAGCCTTAGGTTCCTTTGGGTCCAGTCTTGCCACCAAGTCAGTTACATAAAACATTTCACTTTCCAGAGTTGTTTTTTGTTTTGAGGATTTCAAAATTGCAGATAAGGAGTTGTGAACCTGTATTTGTACTTCTCACAAGAGATTTTCTATTTATGACTTTTCCCACTCTTAAAAAAAAGGATACCACTAAAAATTCCAATAGACTCTTTTAAAATATTCCTACACACATTTTAACTATGTTAGTAAATTATGAAAGCAGAATGTGAGACATATTTGGATGTGCTGTGATTAGTAATTAAAAAATGGTAGAGTCCAGAAGCTTAATAAATAAGCCTTTTCAAAAAAGAGAGATGTATGAAAGAGCCAACATGTCCATCGACAGATGAATGGATAAAGATGTGGTATATATATACAATGGAATATTATGCAGCCATCAAAAGGAATGAAATCTTGCCATTTGCAATGACGTGGATGGAACTGGAAGGTATTATGCTGAGTGAAATAAGTCAATCAGAGAAAGACAAATTTCATATCATGAAATATCTGTACCCCTGGACTCATTTGTCAGATATTAGGAATTCTTAATCTCAGGAAACAAAGTGAGGGTTGCTGGAGTGGTGGGGGGTGGGAGTGATGGGGTGGCTGGGTGATAGACATTGGGGAGGGTATGTGCTATGGTGAGCGCTGTGAATTGTGTAAGACTGTTGAATCACAGACCTGTACCTCT